GCCACCGGTCTCGGCAAGCAAAATTCTGGACGGTTGTTGTCACAGGAGTAGCAGAAGCAGCTTCCATCCTTGGGTTTGTTTGAGGGAGGAAAGAATCTAAGAGAACCAAAACATCGTCCTGGCATGTTGGAGAAAACATGCTAAAGCAATCCAATGCAGCAATGCATCTGCGATGTGAGACAGCAAGCGCCGATCGTGTGAAAGGGACAGCTCTCCACCAGCTGGAAGCTCATGATCGAACTGGCGAACACACACCAAGGTGAAGCGGGGTGACGACGCACCATGTGGCGTTGGCATGTCGCCAGGCACGCCGCCAGGCACGCCACAGGTCCATCGGGACGGTGTCGGCGATCCAATTTGCTTGTGACACTAGGAGCAATGTTCGCTACCAGGGGCTCCTGGCCCTACTAGGAACAAGGGCATCGCCACTAGGAACAAGAAGCTATTAGTAGCTCCTGGCCATACTGCTAGTAACAAGAAGCTACTACTGTAGTAACAAAGGAGCTTTGTGGTCGTTGCAACGCGACCATATACACAAGTTGAGTTTTCGGTGATGCGTGCGTGTAGATGTGCGTAATTAGAGGGTGGAGAGTCAGAGAGTATGTGTGTATGCCTGTTGGTTTGGATTCCGCTCTGCAACTCGAGTTGACTTGGTGCACTTTGATGTTAACTGCTGAAGATTTGGGATGAAATTAACTCCCGCATTCCTGTCAAAATCCGGTGCAAAAAAGACTTCAAGCTCAATCATTTGTCTTCACCGTGCAAATCGAAACCATGCCTAGACTAAATCCAGACTGAGACGAAACGGCAAAACGAAAGACTTCAGATTTGAGGCCCCGGCAGCAAGACCACCAAGAGCAAGAGAGCCACTGCCCAGTAGCTGGTGAGGCGAAAAGCATACGGAACGGCCAAAACACCTGACACGGTGACGCGCAAAGCGAAGTGTCAGAGCGCACCCAAGCCCCTGAACATTTGACAGTGGCCGTGGCCCACTTTCCCGAGAAATTTTGGCTTAGGATGCATTCTAACCGGGCACCTTGGGCTCCCTAAAGAGGTGACAACATATTGAGGACACTGCTTACCTCTTCATCTCTCATCTTCAGCTGTATGCTTGTGGCCAAATGGCCGGCAACCGACGTCACGCTGTCACGTTCTCCCAAGTCACCATCACGTCTCTGGGACCCAGGGCCACTGCCCATCATGGTATTGGCCAAATTAAAAATGGTTTCGCAGCTGCTCATCTCCTGGGACGCGACTGAAAAGGAATCTATAAATATCTCTACTTGAGAGGAGGGAGACACGAAAGGTAGGACAGCGGGAAGAGAAGAGAACGCGAGAGGCAGGAACAAAAATGCAATGTTCGACATGGTGATTTATCCCCTCGGAGGCGACCTTTCGTAAATATATGTTCATATGCACTCTAAATGTTCAAACATATGCTCTCGAAATGTTCAAAAAGATTCTTAGGAAAACAAACTTGCCCCATGGCTCAGATCATCGGTGAGCATTGAATCGGAACATCATAGGATTTGAACTATCCTGAAACCATAAGAGGCTCACGAAGACGTTCCCAGGAGAGAATTGACGTGCTTCACAAAACAAACTCTAGGTATGTATCCCCTCGGGGAACACCTTTCGTGATTAGAATTTCATATGCACTCTTTCTGAATGTTCAAGAGGGTTTCAACTATTCTGAAATCATGAGAAGCTCACGAAGACGTTCTCCAGGAGAGAATTGAATTTAGTGGGGGGGAGGGGGGGGGGTCTGTATTGAAAAATCAATTCCAAGGGGGGGGTTGAATTGAATGATCAATTATTAGACCCGGACGCGCCAACACTTGCTTCGCAAGACAAACTCAAGGTATCCCCTAAAGGGCTACCTTTCGTGATAAAGTACTTCCTGCGGGTTTCGCGGGAACCAAACAAACAGAAGCGTGAGCTATCCTGCGTCCAGTAGCTAGTAGCTTACTTAAGCTACTAGCCTTGCTTAATTAAGTAAGGGCGGGCTTAAAAATAAGACATAACTACGCGCCTACTCCAGTGCCAGTGTATATCGGCATGAGAAGGAAACTGTGCTAAGTCCATTACCATCCAAAGCCGCATCCCATTTCCGAGGTTTAAGTGAAGTATGCTGTCTCTCGATGACTTCAGAACAGTTTCCGAACCCATCAGTAGACTAGGACTCTCGGGTCAAAGGCGAGACCCTACTGAAGTCCCCTGTCACGTTGAAACGGAGTGACGAAACGACAGTCCGACTGCGAGGTCTGTCCTCAGGCGCTATATGGCGCTTTCGTCACTTCCAACACATGCGCTTATGGCACTTTGGTACCATTTTACACCAAACTTGCAAAACTCTAAAGGACACTATGCTGCATATCTTTCGCCACCCGTCTATATGGTCCTCGCCCTCGCGAGAGGCATCCACAGGTTCGGCCACTTTCGGTGCCAAGACAAGCTCTGGCACCTCCTGGTTCTCAGACCTTTGCGCCGCGAAACCAAGATCTTCAAGAATGCAAGATCTTCATGTGAACGTTCCTTTGTACTGTGATGACATGTGTGCTTGTCTGCTTTTCATGAAGCCTGATGGTCAAACGAATTTTGCAAACATTTGCAAACTCAATCACAAGTCTTGGTCTTTGAGGGAGTAGCTCAAACGTATCTGCACTCTTGAGCTGCTTCTGCTTGGTGGGTGCTTGAAGCGGCGTGGGTGCTTGAGGTGGCCAAGGTGCTTGAAGCGGCGAGGCGGCGTCATCCGCACATCCTGTCCTCAGAATTGCGAAGTCAACAGACCTTTAAAGGGAAGTAAGTAGTCAGGTAGGTGCGTAGGCAACGGAGGTCAGGTAGGTTTGGTTCCAAACGGGAAGTGCAAACTTGTCTCGACAGAGATGAACTCAATGCCCAACGCCTAAAGTGTGAGACAAGACGTGTCAACGATTTGACAAGAATCTTTTCTTACCACACAACCCCAAATCACTCGGACCATCTCAAACCAGTGAAACCGTCTCTCCAACCCAAACTCTCAAATCTGAAGAGTCTTTCAAGCGTAAGCTATCCAGCTATCCATGTAGATGCCTACTCAATTGAGGGACGGGCAGAGCAGAAACAGCCGAGCCGAGCAGCGAGAGCCCGTCAAAGAGCGCCAGGTGATCGGCTCGCTGCGCGACGGCGACGCCGAGCGCCGGGGCCTGCGGCACCGAGATCCGAGCACCGAAAACGAAGACGAAACGGCATCGCTACTAGGAACAAGGACGCTACGAACGGGGCTCCTGGCCGTACTACTATAGACCTTTTTCTTGTTTTTTCTGTCTTTCTCACTACAATGGCCTGCAACCTACGAGCGATGGCCTCCAAACGGTTTCTTTATTCTTTCTTGGCCGTTGTTTCGTTTCCTTTTTATTTTTGACCTTTACTGTAGACATCCTTAGACTCTTTCTTTAAACCGACACCTGCTTTAGACGTCTAACACAAGTGTTGCTCCGAAAATTGAATCTGCTGGGCCCGTGTTTTTGGAACACCGCATGGCATATTGACATTGCATAGTCCACGAGTAGTTCTCTGAAATCTCTGAAACAATCAAGTGCACTCTATTTGCCGAACTTGGTCAACTGCGTACTGGTCATGGATGGATCAAAGGCATTAAAGATCTTTGTCTCCACACAGCCCTGCCGAGCATCGTGCCTGAAGAGCCTCGGAGTGCTATCAGCCTGACCAATCACGCTATCACGACACTGAGGGTGTCTCTCGAATTTGATTCAACAAACAAACATGCTCCAAAAAGAGTGTGACCAGCATGGTGTCAAAACATGTCAGAATACCATGCATCAAAAGCCAAAACAAAGACATGGGACAGTGTGGCATCTTGGCAACTACACTACGTCTCATTACCAGGTATTGGCGCCACTCATCTGCGGAGAAACTTGCAGCATCAACCACTCTTGTTCATGGAATTCGAATACCCGGTGGTTCCTCATGCTTCCTCCTGAACATCTTCCAGCGACATCCCGACAGTCCCTACGACTTGTTTAATCGTTCACATGATCACTCCCCACCCAAATCACAAAATAATCTCATCTGGAGGAACAAGTGCATCGCTTCTAGTAACAAGTGCCTTACTAGTAGTAACAAGAAGCTACTAGGGGCTCCTGGCATCGCTACTAGGAGCAAGGACGCTATTAGGTTGGAGGCCATCGCTATTAGGTCCCCTCCGACCCCATCCGATTCTCTTTGCCTGAAGCGGCTCATCCAGGGAATTGCTCATGTGAAAGGCTGGTTAGACGGTTAGACGGTCGAGAGACTTGGACGGATAAGGACTTTCCCAAAGGGATGGACGAAGGTCGATGAGGATGGCTGGTGTGCCTTGAACAAGCTATGCCACCGAACCGTGGGCCAGGAGCACCGTTCGTAGCGTCCTTGTTCCTAGTACCATCTAGTACCGAGGCCCTTTGTTCCTAGTAGCGAACATTGCTCCTAGTAGTAAGGCCAGGAGCCCCTAGTAGCGTCCTCATCCTCTTGAGGAAGGTGGTGGAAGCTGCGCAAAAATAAGGTGGGAGTGACACGCCTCTTGGGAAAGAAGGAAAACAGGCCCATTTGATACAAGAGAGGCTTTGAGACTTTGAGCGCGGCTTGAAACAGCCTTCGCCATCCACCGAATGTGAAGGATATGTTCAAACCTGAAAATCCTTCTGCTCATTTCGGCAAATATCCAAACATGTTTTCCTTACGACTTCAATCATGTCTTTCGTTCCTGTCTCTTTGGGCCAAAGCGCTGGCAACAAAAAAGCTCGGAGGAAGCACACGGGTCTGATCTGCCTCTCTTCACCTGAGAACGCCTCACAGCTTCTCTAGGACTGTAGGTTTCGGATTCTCTTATTCTGGAAACTACTCGATGTGTGCGAGGCACAACAGCTCAACATAGCATTTTATCAGTTTGACTGAATCCTGCAACCTGCAACTTAGGCTCTTAGGATCCCGGAATTTGTGAAGTTCTGAGCTTCCCGGACTTCCAACAGCCAATGCAACGCCTTCTGCCAACTTTGGGCATCACCGTAGCTCACCACCACGGCTGCGGGCAGGGGTCCAGGGTTGGTCCGAGAATCACGCGTCAAAAACCCGACAACGACTGCTGAGCTGAGTTGTAGCTTATTCCCAGTCGCCAATGTTCACTTTCCCTGCCTTGATAAAGACGTCTGCTTGGGCTCAACTTGGCTTCCTTGACCTCAAGATCCCACCCAAGTCTAGTAGCTTCTTGTTGCTAGTAGTAATGCCAGGAGCCACTAGTAGCTTTTTGTTACTAGTAGCATTCTTGTTCCTAGTAGTAAGGCCAGGAGCCCCTAGTAGCGAACATTGCTCCTAGTAGCGATCCCCTTTGCTCGTAGCTTCTTGTTACCTTGTTCTTGTTACCTTGTCTGATCTTGTCTGTCCTGTCAATTCCCGTGATCACATCGATCCCCGGCCTATCGAACTTGCGACCCAACACCGAGAGAAAGAGCGCCTCTTCCAGTAGTCTTTCCACACGAAGAGGAGCCGCATCCCTTATGCAAGCGGAGGCGAGGGCTTACTTGCACCGTAGCAACAATGTGTAAAACTGCAGTCTTCATCTAGAATTGATAAAGCCCCTGCAAGAATGAGAGTGAAGCAGAAGGTCAGTACAGTGGAGACATCACGAGCGAATACTTAGCTTCTTCAGGGTCTCTTTGAGTATAAGCAAAAATTATAGGGTACAAAACGATACAAAGCAAACATTTTTGAGCACATTTGAGTACTATATCAATGTGGCTAGTCACATGTTGCCTCCTCAGTCTCCATTCAGAGTCCTCCAAGGTTTCAACCTACATCGCTCTGCCGCCTCCTCGTAGGCCTCTCGTGAGCTCGAATAAGTCCGGTCTTGGCTTGCAACTGTCTGGATCCATCCATGAAAATGGTTTCTAAACAACACATAATTAGATTCATAATCAATATTACACAAATAGTTATTGATCACGCAATTCTTTGCCCAGTTTTGTCCAAACGTTCGCTTCATGGCTCAGCTCTGTCCTCTATCGGCACTGCGCGGAGCTGCTGTGCCTGTTGCCGAATCCGATTTGCTTCAAGGTGGCTGCCAGGGTTGAACACTTTTTTGTCAAGGAAGCAAGGACGCTACTAGGGGCTCCTGTTTCCACCAAAGAAAGGATTTTGAATCGTGAACATCACCTGGTTGAACTCTCCGTCTATGAGTGCCTTTCAGCCAGCCTTTAGCATCCATCAACCTGTTAGAATCTCGGCACGCACTATGTTAATATGAGAATGGCATCACCTCACCACCTGCTACTGATTTGGTCCATAACTACACCCAAAAGTACTACTTATGTCAAATCAATAGCAAAGACTATCTATCTATCTATATAATATACACATGTATCATTAGTTATATCTATATAACTACAATGTAACAATCAATATCCCACCTCGGCGAGCAGTCGAATAGCATCTTGCCATGTTGCACCGTCCTGAAACATACAGGGCATCGCTGGGCCGACTTAACTAGAACTTTCGCCAGGGTGGTCTTGCGGAAGGCTCAGTGTGATTGTCGATTGTCCGCTTTCATTAGAAACACAGAATTTGTGAACGCATTTATATCGAACCCCAAGATAGAAGGATGCATCAAGGTACGCAAAAGGACACAACATAGAGAAGGTAAATGACTGTAGGACCAGGACATGGAGTGGAGGTGCCACCGCTTGACAGTGGACAGCGATTGTTGTAATTACCTCAATTTACAAGGACCTTCCAGAGTTGTTTGAGGGCACACTCTTTGACAAGTCTCATTCACATTCTCTTTTTGCAGGGTATGAGGTAAACGTCCTTGTCGCAGGGTTTTGACACGTGGACAATGGTTACAGATTACAATGGATGGACTGTGGCCTCTTTAAGCTGATCATCAAATGAGTGTTTTCAGAAAATAGCGCCCTTACTACTAGTAGAGCATGAAGGAGCTAGAGTATGGCACGTCATCCCCTGCCTCCTGTGGCAAAGCACGAACCTGCGACCAAAGAGTGAAACTTTCTCGAAACGCTTCGGTGAGCAAACAGTATATACTTTGGTGGAGGAATCGCATCAAGTGTCCAATTGTCCTTGGTATATATATAGCTAATATTTACATAAATTTATATAAATCGATTTATGGTGTTAAAAGTGCAACCATATCAAGCAGAGAGCCGATTGTAGATGACTGCCGGGCAGCAATCTAGTGATGGAGAACTTTCTCTACCAGTTTATTGCAGCTCAAAACGGGCCCCCTCAAGAAACCTCCGACTTCCATTGATAGATCTATTTCCGAATCCAAAACTGCAGAATCAGAAAGGCTCTCGATTTCAACAAAAGCACTTGAGTTATATTGCATTGATATTCGCGGTGTCAATGGCCCAAATGAGCAATTGAAACCTTGCGCTTGGTTGAGCAGATTTGCCTACGAGTAGCGAATCATTGCGCTCGCGTTGCGTCCCCTATAGGTCCCAATGCCGCACAAGAACTCTTTTTTGGTTCTATGGAAAAGCGCTTGAATCCCCAAAAATGGTTGAGCTCTTAACGCGTGCTTGGTCTCCAAGAAAGTGCCCATCCGCAAAGAGTGATGAAAAATGGTTCAGGCTGAGTGCGCCGGACTTCTATGAAAGGCCGTCGAACTCACTGACCAACTGCCGAACTCCGCCGGGTCTCTGCGCCCCTCCCGTTCGAGCGCCTGGGTCCTCCTGCGCTCTAGCTGCGGACTTCCCAAGCCACACCTAAACTTTAGAACGTCGAACACTTGCGCAAATATGATTGACGCTATCCTGATAACATTTATCAATTAATATCAATTAATGCTTCTGGAAAGACTTCCACCTCGTGACCTCGTGTTTCGAAAAAACGGCGTTGCTCCACCTCTTCCTGGGGACAACGTCGCTGGATCCGTCTGCCTCGGAAAGACCGAGATTCGACGACAGAAATCCAAAAGACCTCCAGTGAAACATTTCCGCAAAGACCTTTTTCATTAAAACAAAAATCGCCTAGAAACACGGGTGCTAAGGGGTTTAGGTCTTAATATGTTGCTCGACCACTAAGGAACGGAGTTTTCCTGCTTCTGCAATCCAGCCACATAGGTCAAACATGAGTTCCATGGTTTGGGGAGACGGGGGTGCTTGTTTGACACCAAACACCCGACTCTCCAGCCTGCCTCTTGGTGTCGAAGCACTATGCAATGCCACCTTGAACCAAGTTGACGTGAAGATCTCACAACGATACCTTTTAAGAACTAGGTGGCCCAACTCATGTCTCACACAGCAAACGAATTCAACATCTTTCAGCCCCGTTGCATGTTTCCACTTGTCCATGGCGCACGTCCACAGTTGCAAAGCGCAGAAATGACAAAAAAACAGGTGAGGCTATGGGTGTGGAAACGAGCAAAAAATTGGTTCATCTTTTTGCAAATGACAAAAAAGCCTTGGCAAACCTGTTCGACCTCATACTGACTGTCCATAGATTTGTTAAACCTTCTCTTGTCAATGTGGTGCGCCCTTTCAATAAGTGGCACTGTGTTTGTCATGGCAAACTTTGCAGTGAATATATATCCCTTCATACTCGCATATTTCGAAGCTTGGTTTCAATCTTCTTCCAAACCAAGTCTTTGCTTCCGAACAAACGTAGAAACCTTGGTTTGCAATAGTCTGCTAGATGTCTGATCACCGCATCTCTTCAGACAAAGTACTTGCAGATGCAACTTGATGCCTGTGAGCTGCCGATCTTGCTTGTATATGGCTGCGGCACAGAAACGGCAACAACAATAAACCAACGGGGTTAGAAGCGGTTATATCCTTCAATAAAAACGCTGGCGTGGAGATTGTCCAGGCAAAAAAGTTGGACAACATCTCGAATGTAAAGCCGCATAAACACAGCGACAAACTGAAACTCTTCCACAACACGTGAAATCACTAATGTTATTTTATTTCTTTTCTTTCGGGGCTGGTTCACACACATAGCCAGTAGCAGTTACAGGCATCCATCGGATTTCTGTTTTCATTCGCACGGTCGAGCCGAAAAGCCTTCCATACTGAATGTCAATATTTGAGGAATAGCCCGTTGTGACTTCCAGCTCTGAACGGATTCGAACCATCACCCGGCAACGACACCGTGAAAAGTGGATGCGCGTGTTGCCTCACCACAGTGAAAACAACAACGTATAGATCATTGTATATCACTCTTTTGGAACACAACAACTACTGATCTTCGCGGCCCGAGTACTGTTCAGAACACCCGCGCCCTACCATCAAGGCCATGCAAATAGACAACTGCATGGACATTGCTCTGGAATTCCCTGGGGTACTGGAGTACCACTTGGAGTACCAATACACATCCCGACCCCTCCAACCAGCAAAGCGTTGTTAAGGCCTGCCAGCAGTATGGAATGGCTTCCGCGCTCCTTTCACGCACCTCTGCATCATTCGACATATTCGTGCTTGCCCCAACAAGTCGCGCCGCTTTCCAGGCTGGAAAGCCTCATGCCTCTTGCCCCAAAGCGCGCCATTCCTTCCTCAAAATCATTCATAGCTCTTCTCAGTCAGTTGCTGAAACAAGCGGCAAGCCGCGCAAATTTCATAACGCGATTCGCTACGCTTCCAGATGCGACGATCCGAGCGATATTGCACTGCCCGGGGCCAATCGAGCATGATGGTTGTCCTTGACGGGTGTGGCTATGTCGTGATTGAGCAGCTGCCAGTCTGCGATGGGTCAAAATTTGTGACCACGACTGAGGCGCCCCAAACAGGAGCCCCGCTGCGCGTTAAAAAGCGGGCGCTCAAAACTCCAAGAGGAACGCATCAGTTCTCTGACCGCATCCTACGGAACATGTGACCACTGTTGCACTAACAAGTCCTCCCCACACACTGACACGTCGGATGCCGTCATCCGTTTTTTCAAGAACCCTATAACGCATAGAAAGGTCTTTCCACACGAAAGGAAGAACGCCTGCAAAGACCAATCAACTTGAGGCGCCGCGCGTCCAAAGGCGTCAAAAGCGCGCACCCTTCTAAGATCACCCCGACCCCAAGCCCCAAAGCAATGAAAGCGGCGTGCCCAACTTTCTCCAATTACGTCGGGGAAGCGTGGCCCATTCCAACACCACGCCCAATAAGCGGTCGGATATGATTGCTCTGGATCTGCCAGCGACGCCTTGATTGGGTTCTGCTTTGATACGCTCTCAACTCCACGTGCTACATCGAAGCGCTTCATCTCGAGGTCTTTCATAAGGTTGTGCGCCGCCTCCTTGCGTGTCCGGGCGCCACACAATTGCCGGCGCCGGGGCAAGCAAGAGCCTGCCGTAGCCCCAAAGGCATTGGCACCAAAACAACGTTGCACGGGCAGCAGGCTGAAACAGGACGGGTCTGGCAGCAACGTAGCTCAACGCATGCCTCCTGCCACGCATCCTTCAAATAAGCTGTGAGTATGTGCACGCGTATGCAGTTCGCCCCGCGACACACGCCTCCAGTTAGATGGATGTTGCTCCCATGGCCGCCATCTTTCACGGGCTTGCTCAGCGTGAGCATATCCCCTTGCAAGGGACCACAAGTCCCTCTTCTAGCTGCGCTTGTCCGGCCACTTTAAAAAATATCAATATATATTTCAAGCGCCAACGAGCACCGCGAGCAGCCAGGACCAGCAGGATCGGTTTTTGCTACGTGGGAAAGCTGGTGAGGTGCACATTTTTGCGGTCAACTGCCCAGTCCCGATCCAGAGCGCGCGACGTACTCATAAGCGCCGCATGTGGACGCTGAGAAGCCCTGGCGCATCGCATCCAAGGAGAGCTGCGGATGAGTGATCGTCTGGAGCGAAAGCACCATTATGACCCGGGCTACAGCAAAAGCACCGGACCCCAATGATGATGCCACAACAGCTTACCGGCAGGAACAAATCTGTGCAAACACGCAGGGTCTCGCTCACTGCCGCCAAGAACCATTTCCAGCACTTAAAGCGAGTCCAATGACAAACGGAAGCCCTCCCAGAAGGCCCATGGCGACCCACAAAGAAAAGGACAGGCCGTCCGATCTTCGACCACCGCGCTCATCAAACAATTTATTGAAGACGCTGTCAAAAGAACGCATCGCGACCAGAAGGTCACATAAGGGTGTTTTTGCTTAATGAAAGGCATAGTCCGAAGAACATTGCATGTGTTGATGACCAAAGCCGAACGCATCCTCTGCTCTATGTCGCTCTATGTGTCTTGCAATTATACAATTAAGGGTGCACGTTTATTTCGTTTTTTCGTGCTATTCGTGATTTTTAAAAAACCCTTGGGCTCACAATTTGCTGCTATTTACGGCAACCTAGTGTCCTTTTAAAGGAAACGTACTGCGGACACAAGGGAGAGTGAGTGGCTGAGCTTGAAAGAGAAACAGTCTCGGCAGTGGGGCTGACACCCAAGAGAAACAGCTGTCGCAGCAAGCAAAGTGCGTTGGAAGCAGTGCAGATTTCGCGTTGGTGGCCGGTGCAGTGGAGCGTGGACGACCTTTAAACAAATTGTGGTGCTGGAGGGAGGTTGGGGGAAGGGCGTGCGCTTGGATGTTTTTGTGCGCGGCTGCTTGTGTCGTGGTTTCTTGCTTCTCTGAATTTTAGTGGTGTTTGTTGAGGTTGCCTCGCTATACTCACTTCCGCGAACAAACCTCACCTCACTTGCGCAAGCGATGCATGTTGCTACATTGGAAGGGCACCTTCCTAGTCTAAATTTTGCCCTCGGGCCCTGCCTGATCTAAATCTTACAATCGCGTGGCTCACGGAAGGTCTGCTACCTTGCAATGGCCCCTCCCTCGTCTAAATTTTATCCTCCGGTGGCTTACAAAAGGTGGGTGGCAAAAGGTCTGCTACCTTGGAATGGCTCCTCGCTGTCACCTACATTTTGGCTCTAATGCGTCTTGTAAGCACCACATGCAAGCAGCGCTGTACTTCAAGGTTTTCCCACCAACACTGCAAAACAACCATGACGTACTTGAGCGCAAAGCGTATTGAAGCTTCTTTGTCTAATGTGTTTGTGTAGCTAAATAATATATTAGACGCACAAGTGTGTGCAAGATAGTGCAAACCGAACAGCAACAAGTGCAGCACAGTAGACCAAACAGAGCAGAAAAAACAGCAAAGCAACCAAAGCAACAAACAACAAACGAGCCGGAAAAAATAGCAGCAAAAACAAAAGTAAACACCAAAAGCAAAAGACAAAAGCAAACAATCAGCAAAAGCAACAAATCAGGAAAAGCAAAAGCAAAGCAAAAAACAGCAAAAGCAAACAAGCAGCAACAGCATATGAAATGTTAAACATATTTTAAGATTTGGGTGAGACCACATCATTCATCTTTAAAAGCAGCGTGTACCACCTCAGCGGGCATGTGGTTGGCATTTCCGGTGAGAACTCACGGTGAGGACTCGGTCTGGCTTAGATCCGTGCAATGACCGAAGCCAGAACAGATGCGAGCGAAAGCCCGAGCACCTGACAGGCCAGCATGGTGAAGGGAATCGAACCAAACCCGAAAGGTTGGGGGCCATCGCTAGTAGGTTGGAGGTCTTGGATGCCATTGC